AGAAGGGTGTCGAAATCGATGGGTCCCCCCGGGGGGGTAAGGACCACAGCTCCCCCAGTTGTGGCCCCCATGGACAAAAGGCCTCTGCCTGCGGCGCAGGCTGCATCGGCAGGCGCCCCGCAAGACGCGACCCGGGCAGCCCCGAGGGACGCGGGCCACGCGCGCTCCGGGCACCCTCCCTCTGCTCCAGCGCGGGCGGCGGCGGCCGTCGACGACGGCGCCGACGCCAGCGACGAAGGCGGCGACGCCGACGGCGACGACGGCAGCGACGAAGGCGACGGCAGCGACGACGGCGACGGCGGGGGCGGCGACGACGGTGTCGGCGGTGTTGCCGGCGCTGACGGCGGCGGCGGCAGGGGCGGCGGCGGCGGCGGCGATGTCGACGACGGTGGCGCCGTAGCGGCGGCGGCGGCCTCAGCGGCCGAGGCCGGCCACGGCGACAAGTGCGGGGTGCAAGGAGGATGGATCGAGGTTTGAGGAGCAAGGATCGCAGCTTTAGGGCTTTCTGGGCCGCTGGGGGCCTCCAGAGGCCTTCGGGGACCGCTGCAAGACTCCGAGGCCCTCCAGAGGCCTCTGGCGGCCTTCGGAGACCTCAGGTTCCGGCGTGACCAACAACCATCACTTGAAGACTATAAGCTTGCCGTTGCTCACGCCTCGCGTGTCAGTCAACATGAATGCCCGAGCCCTGAAAACCCACCCTCTTCGTCATTGATCGTATCTCCTTTGGAGGTAGATCTGCCTTGCCTGCCACTTGCAGTTGGCGTGGCCGCTGACATAGGACGAGGAGGGGGAAAGGAGAAATACAGAGAGAGAGAGAGAGAGAGAGCGAGGAATCATGTAGCAAACGAGAATGGAGGGTGGCAAGAAGGCGGGCAAGGGATTGAGGACGAACAAGATCGTGCGGCACGGTGAGGAAAGAGGAGCATGAAGATTGCCAGGCGGACCCAAAAGGGTGGGGTGTGCGGCCGGACGCGACGGGCGGGTAGACCCTCACGGGCGGGTCGGGCTGGCGGGGCACTAAATCAAGCGGGCGGGTGTCGAAACAACCAAACGTGCGGGCCCTAACGGGCAGGTGGGGCGGAGGGATCCTCACTGGCACCAACGGGCTAGTCGGGCGGGCGCACCCTGACTAGCGTGTTGGGCTGGGTATTCAAGCGAGCGGGGGGGGGTCCCAAACAGACTAACGGGAGGACCCGCACGGGCGGGTCAAGCGGGCGGACCCCAATGGGATGGTCGGGCGGGCGGGCCTTAAACGGGCGCGCCGGGCGAACGGGGCATTGAAGCGAACTTGATAAATTGAGGGGAAATCTAAGGCGAGAGCATAATTCGTGTAAGCTGTCTGCAGATCTAGTGCGAGAGCGCGACTCCTGGACGCCAAGAATGAGACTGAGGCAAATTGCGAAACAAAACCGAGGCGAGAGAAACAATCTTGCGTAAATTGCAAAGACGAATTGAGCAAGAGCGTGATTCCGGAATAAATCGTGAGAACCTATGATGCGGGAATCGCTGTGGTTGTTATTGCTGCTGCTATTGTTGGTGTTGTTGTTGTTGGTGCTGATGCTGTTGTTGTTGGATTATCATCCCTAATAATCATTTTAGTTGGTTCCCCCCCTCCGGGGCACTGTGTTTCTTCAATTGAAGTGCCCTTCTCGGGGCTCGCATCTATTCTGTATCAAAGAAAGCCTTGAATTTCAGAATTGGGTTGTTGGCCCCCGGTTTACGACAACAGCGGCTCCCGCCTGATACTTCCTCACGAGTTATGCAGGAATCGCGCTCTCGCGGGGAACTCCCTCGCAATTTATTCAGACGCCGCGCCCACGACACTCTGGAATCATGTTCTCGCTGTGGATTTCCGCCAGATCTTTTTGAGAATGGCGCTATCGCTCGAGACGTCCTCGCGATTCATGCAGGACGCACGCTTCAGCAACCTGCCTGCTCGACCTGGCCGCCTGGGACCGCCTTCCCGACCCGCCCGCTAGGGTCTATCCGCCCGATCTGCCCGTCTGGTTCTGCCACGAAATTTCTCCTTCTAGCCCCCCTCTTGCTACTCTCTCTTGTGGTCCATCCTCCTCCTTCCCCCTTGTTCCTTGCTTCCTTCCGTCCTCTCTTCTCCTGCCTCAGGGGCTGCGCGAAATGCATGCTGTAGGTAAGAAAAATGCACCGCCCCAAGGGGGTACGATCGAAATCGAAGACGGCGGGTGTCGAGGGTTTGGGATGCACGTGTTGAATGGCACACGGGGCAGATCGGAGCGAGCAGTCCTAAAACGATTGCTGTTGTTGTTGTTGTTGTTGTTGTTGTTGTTGTTGTTGTTGTTGTTGTTGAACATTATTAATTCTAAAGAATAATTATTGTTGGGGCCCCTGGTGCACGGCCCCCCTGCGCCGCCTAGGCCGCAGCTACATTTTCATCATTTTCGTGAGGAAGCCTCAGGTAATTCGATGTGATCAAGATCCGGTTGTTTTGTTGTAATCCGCTTTCCCTTGCAAAAAACACTATAAAATGACATTTCTTGTTCTAATATAATCAAATTTCAAGAATCCCTTGCAAAAATAAGGTAAAGTGGACATTCGCGCGCGCAAGACGAAATCCTTCCAAAACCTTAGTGTTCGGAGCGATTTTAACATAAAAACATCAAAAAACCAATGGTTTTTCAACAAAAAAATGTCAAAATCTCATCCCGCGCGCTCTTGCGGATTCGTAGGAAACCCAACACTTTTTAAACATTTCTGTCAAACGGGCTTTTGCGAGCAACTTTTTCGAACTTCTGCGACAACGGTTGCGCACCTGCCAGGGCCATCATCCCTGTCAAATAATACCATGCGGGACACATTCGTTTTTTCTTCGCGCGCGCACGCCGAAATCTCCAAAAACCATTGGGCTTCTTAAGAATTTTAGCACCGCGCATCATAAAATCACACGAATCGCACCGTAGGTCCTCGAAAAACACTTGTGTATCATGTGTATCATGTACCATATGCATCATATGCAACAGATGTTCTGTGGAAGGCTTCACAACTTCTGTGGGTTAACAAGGCTTAACAACTTCTGTGGGTGTACGAACGTAGGCTTAACAACTTCTGTGGGTGTGTACTCCACGCCAGTGTAGTAGCCACGGTCGTCCGCAGGCCACGAAGTGAAGTGTCCGAACGTCATAGGGCGGGAAGCTGGGTGTGGGTGGTGGCGAAGAGTCGTGTGGATATTTGGTAGAGCTTGCACTGCCCCCCCACAAAGTGGGGGTATTGGCTGGCGTCGCATGAAAACCCTGGCACTGGTGAGAACACTGAGCGTTCGGGTAAAGTGATTGTTGTTGTTGTTGTTGTTGTTGTTGGTTGCTGCTGCTGCCGTCGTCGTCGTCGTCGTCGATATTATCGTTGCAAATACGAGTAGCAACGTTGCAGTGGGAGCAGACTGGCTGTGCCCGACACAGACATGGGCGAGCCCCGGGGGGGGGGCGCCTCGATACCTTAGGAGACACTACTGGGGGGGCCACAAGCGAACCCTACCCCTACCCCCCACGATTTCTGAGGGGGAGGGTGGGGTTCACTTCGTCTGGGAGCTCCCGAGCGAAGTGAACCCCACCCTCCTCCTCAGAAATCCGAAATGGACGCCCGAAATGGGCACGGAAAGAGCACGGAAAGAGTGGGCACAATGCCCAACAACAAACGTCGTCCCAAACCAGCAGCGGCCACTGTTGGGCAGGCGGCCCTCTGCCTCGAACGGACACAGGCCGCGGCGGCGTGGACAGCGAGTCCTGCTCAGAACGGACCGGATCCGCTGTTGGGCATCGTGCCCGTTCTTTCCGTGCCCATTTCGTCCGTGCAGGACTGTGTCAGGGGGACGTAAGACCTGGGTACAAGGGACTCGGAAATCCCCGACGAGGTCGTCAAAAAAATGACGAGGCCGAGCCTGCATTTTGACGAGGCCTCCCGCTGCAGACATCCCACGAAACTCCTCCTCGTCAAAATCCGAGGCGCGGTCGTCAAAAAACGATGGCGAACCCGAGTCCTGGCAAACCCGGGTCTTACGCTCCCCCGACTGTGGGCGCCGACGCGTGGGGGGGTTCACAGCACGTCCCAGCAGCGAGAATCCAACCAGCCACCCATCACGGGCAGCTGCTCCCCTCGATCTGGGCCGCCCCAGAGGGGCCCGCTGCGGGCCCCCTGGGGGCCCGTTGCGGCAGACGCGCCGCACCGCAGGGTGGGCGACGCGCCCGCCCGCTGGGCATGGGGGTGGGCGGGGGACGGCCGCGGGGGCGCGCGCCACAAGAGGCGCCGCGGTGTCCGTCGGGCGCCTGCCCCGACCTGCAGGATTGAAGGGGCCCAGGGGCACACAGAGAGGTGGGCACAGCTCCCAGGATCCCCTACATCTCGTGGAGCTTCGTCTTCCCCCCCTTCCCTCCCGTAGTCTCCCGCATTCTCCCGGGGATCGGCAATTTTTCTGTGTGCCTGTTCTCCTCTTGAAGATTCCGTGCCGCTCCTAACCCCGGGGCCCGCAGAACCACCCCGGGCCCGGCCCAGCAGAGCAAGCCGCCTGCGGGAGTGCGACCAGGCTTCTCCAGGGCAGAACCTGCCTGCGCACCAGAGTCACGAGGCCGATGCTGAAGACCACATTGTAAGGAGCCGAACTCTCTACACCGACGCCTTTGTCTGGCCTCACACTGACTCTTGCACAGGAAAGCGGATCCTGTTGTGTACGGGATCCTGGCGTATACATTCTTCGTTGCTTCCCTGGTATACACCGCACCACCCCGACGTCGTCCCCGACCCTCAAAAAGTCCTGGGATTGAAAACCCGCCAGCCACAGGTAATGTATATGCTCAATTTTTCGACATTGGGCACCGCTGAGACAGCCCAAGGACGTCGCTGCAAAACATCTCGACGGCTGTTGTCGCAAAACGGCGCCACCTGGCACAGCGGCGTGACATCAAGCCCTGACTTCAGCCAACAACTCAACGGACTTGCCACTTGTCACGCCGGGCGCGTCTGCGGGCGATCGCGTATTTTTCTTGACGCTCACGCAGCGCCTGGGACTCCACATCTCTCCCTCTCTCTCGTGCACCGCTGCGGAGCTTAGTCCGGGAGCGGGAGGGACACTTCACTGAGCCTGGGCAAGGCGAAACTGCACGTGTAGAGGCGAACAAAAAAACACCAGGAACAACAACTTTTTGGAAAGTCCGCGCGGCCTCCTTTGATCTGTGCTGGACCTTCCTCCCTGGCGCTCGGAGCTCGCCAGGAGGCGCCGCCAGGGGGGGGCCCGGCGCCGGTGGAGGAACTCCGCGAGAAGCTCCGGAAATGTACACGTGGTTCACTTCTGATGGTGCTCCTTTCCAATCGTGCTCGTTTCTGGTTGTTCCTGGCCCTCCAGCGGCCAGGAAGAAACCCAGGGTGGAACGATTAGAAAAAGAGAGAGGATCTCGGCCCCAGACAGTCCAGGGAATTTTCGGAGAATTCGACATGAACCGTGTGTTCGTATGCTTACGCAGTTTTCCGTCACTCGACACACGGCGACGAGCCCTCACTCGACACACGACGATTCCTGCTCGAAGACGGCCGCAGACGCCCCCGAGACCGCCCCGAGACCGCCGAAGAGGCACCCAAGGGAGCCCGAAAACGTCGCCACGGCGCGTGATGGGCTCGTCGTGCGCAGGCGGGCCGTCCCCGTCGCCGCCGAGGCCCGCCGATGCAGGCGATCCCCGAGAGCGCGAGCGGTGGCACACTGCGATGAGAGCAGCCCGGGGCGAGGGCGCGGGGCCCGTGCAGATGGCGGGCGCCCGCGGGCGCGATGCAGCAGAACACACACACGCGCACACGCGCACACGCACACACACACACACACACACGCACACACACGCACACACGCGCACACGCGCACACACGCACACACGCACACACGCGCACACGCGCACACACGCACACACGCACACACGCACACACGCACACACACAGAACACACAGTCTGTGGGGAAACAACACACTGTAGGGAAAAACACACAGTGTGTGTGTTTCCCCACAGTGTGTGTTGTGTTGTGTGTTGTGTGTGTGTTGTGTGTGTTGTGTGTGTTGTGTGTGTTGTGTGTTGTGTGTGCTGTGTGTTGTGTGTTGTGTGTGTTGTGTGTTGTGTGTTGTGTGTTGTGTGTTGTGTGTTGTGTGTTGTGTGTGTTGTGTGTTGTGTGTCGTGTGTTGTGTGTGTGTTGTGTGTGTGTGTGTTGTGTGTTGTGTGTTGTGTGTGTGTTGTGTGTGTTGTGTGTGTTGTGTGTGTGTGTTGTGTGTGTGTTGTGTGTGTTGTGTGTGTGTGTTTTTGTTTTAACCCCTGCAAAGCGCGTGCGTAAGTCCCGCCTTCGCGCCTCACGCCGCGTGATGCGCGAGGCCGCAGCCATCGGGGATGGACAGACCCCCCTTTAGCAAGACGCGGTTTCGTGAAAACGACCCGAGGCCCAGACCTGGCAGGCGCAGGCCTGGAACAGAACGGCCACGGCGCCCCCTCGAGAACCGAAAATAGAGAATTCACGAATCGACGTGTCGCTGTTGGGGGTTCTGTCCACCCCCGCGAATTCTCTTTTTGAGGGCCTCCGTCCCCGAGTTCAGAGGCGCCCCCGGGCGCTCCGGGGTGCCCCGCGTGGCGCCGCGCGACCTCTCCGGGCGCAGGAGGGCTCCGAAGCAGCCCAAGAGGTAAGTAGGGCCCCAAGAGGCTCCCGAGACGGTCACGCGAGGGCCCCGAGACGGCCTGAGGACCTCCAGGAGGACCTCCGGAAAGGACCTACAGTGTCACTGTTGGGGGTCCTGTCCACCCCGTGCCCGAAGCAGTCTCCGCGCCCTCTCGAGAGCCGAGAACGGACAACTCACTTATCGACGTGTCACTGGGGGGGAGAGGAGGAGGAGGAGGAGGAGGAGGAGGAGGAGGAGGAGGAGGAGGAGGAGGAGGAGGGGGAGGAGGAGGAGGAGGAGGTAGGAGGAGGAGGAGGAGGAGGAGGAGGAGGAGGAGGAGGGGGTCCTGTGCGCCCCCGAAGCTGTCTCCGCGCCCTCGCCCGGCCGCCTCCGGGCGAGGCGTGGCCCTCTCGGGCCGGGGCGGCGGGTGCGCGACCGGGGCGCGGCGGCGCCTCGTGCCTCCTTCTGGGGCGGCGGCCGGGCGGCGCGGACGACTTGCCGTCGCTCGGACGCCCATTTTCCGTGTATTTGTCGGTTTCGTGCGCGTTTGTTTTGCTCGATTATGATTATGATTATCATTATGATTATTATTATTATCATCATTATTATTATGATTATGATTATGATTATGATTATGATTATGATTAATGATGATGATGATGATGATGATGATGATGATGATGATGATGATGATGATGATGGTGATGATGATGATGATGATGATGATGATGATGATGCTGATTATTATTATCACTACTATTATTATTACTATTATTAATTATTATCATTATTATTACCATTATTATTATTATCATTATTATTAGTAGTACTATTCTTCTTCCTCCTCCTCCTCTTCCTCCTCCTCCTCCTCCTCCTCCTCGATGGTCCAGGATGGTCCTCGTTGATCCCCGCCAAGAAAACAGTGCACACGTCCAAGCGGTGCCGGGACGAGGGCCGGCGTGCGCACGAGGGCGAGCGCGCGCGCGCGTCCGGCGAGCGGTGGCGTCGGCGGTGGGCAAACCTCCCTTTCGTACGCCTCCCCTTCGTGAAAACGGCCTGGGGCCGAAATCGACGCCTCCTCCTCCTCCTCCTCTCCTCCTCCTCCTCCTCCTCCTCCTCCTCCTCCTCCTCCTCCTCCTCCTCCTCCTCCCCCCACTCCTAGCCTTTTCGATCAGGGTCGGCAACACCGGCCGTCAGGCCTCTCCAATCGACGGACCTGGCCTGGACCCGCAAAAACGACGGCCGCGGCGCCCTCTCGCGAGCCGAAAACGGCCAGTTCCTGAATCGACGTGTCAGGGTAGGCGGTCTATCCACCTCCGATGATGGGGGATACCTCACGGGGGTCCGTGCAGATGGGGTCGAAGGGTCACGCCACATCACCGATACAGTCGGACTCGACTGGACAGGACACGCGATAGGACAGAAGACCCTTCCGAGGGCCACGTTGCCAAAGGAAGGTAGGAACTATGGGTCGCGAGACACAGGACACAAGGGTACTCTTGATTTGGCAGGGTCGACCTACTAATCTGGGCGGACTGTACATCGGCGATGCATCGGCGATATGTCGGCGATGCATCGGCGATGCATCGGCAGCGTCGGCGATGCATCGGCGACGTCGGCGTGGGGAAACACGGTCTCCACATCGAGCCGCATCGTCGATGCGTCGGCGATGCGGCGCAATCCTCCGACCCCATCTACTCCGACCCCATCTAGGAGGCCGAGATAGTAGGGAGGCCAAGGAAAGGACCCCAAAGGCCCTTTCGGGCCCCTGGTGGGGCTCCTGCTGCGCAGAAGTGGCCCTAGAGGGCCCCTTCAGGAGCCTGTTCCTCGCCCCCCCCCTTCAGGTCACCCCCAACTGCCACCCTCCAAAGAGCGCGTGCGGCAGGCCCGTGTCGTGACGACCCCGGCGTGGGTTTCCGACACCGCGTGGCTCGGTCAACCTTGAACGCTCGGGGATTTCCGATGGCGCAGGCAGCTCGACACAGACCTATAACCGAAAGGGGGCGATAATAACCCCCCTGGGATGATAAAGTTCGCGGTTCCCGCGGGGATAATAAAGGATTATCCCGGGGAAGGTAAGTTATGATGATGCTGATGATGATGATGATGATGATGATGATGATGATGATGATGATGATGATGGTGATGATGATGATGATGATGATGGTGACGATGATGGAGGAGGAGGAGGAGGATAAGCAAGAGGGGGAGGAGCAGGAGGAGGAGCAGCAAGAGGAGGAGGAGCAGGAGGAGGAGGATTGTCTATTTTGCTAGGGATCAGCACTCGGCGAGTGCTGATCCCTACCCAAACGTCGTTCTGACGTTTACTCCATGTTTGTAACTAGTACATCCCATGGCCCTGGCGCACGGTCGTAACGTGGGCAAACTGAACTGGTGAGAATCCCACAGCCCTGCCACACGCTCGTGATTGCGGAAGCCGGTGTGGCGAGACCATCATGGCCATGTTCAGCGTTTTTGATGCTGTTGCTAATCAACATGATATGAAAACAACTTCGATCCCCGTAACTTTCCAGGTGATTCTCAGGTTCGACACCCGCGCCTTCCCCACAGAGAAATCCCTGTGGGCGGGATAAAAAAAATAGAGGGGGGAAAAGGGGGGGCACCTTTATTATCACCCCTTCGGGGTTACTGGGCCACTGGCGGCGTTCATCCTTGAACGCCCTCGCTGGGGTCGCCGCCGCGTCGACGCGTCCTGGACCTGTCGTATGCCAGGACGCACACCGAGCGTACAGACCCACGAAAGTCGGGGGAAGCCAAGACGGGGGCGTCCACGAGGGGGGCTCGCAAGTCATGGCCCGTGGCACCATTCAACATTCGCAATATGACGGATGATCTGAGCCCTACTCCCAACTGCATCATCCCAACCCGAAGCTGTCATTCTGAATCATGCAGTCCAAGCTCGACCACGAGAAGCCTTCCACAAGACGCCCAACCCTGGGACCCCAGGATTTCCGTTGATTTCTGGTGTGGCAAAGTCGCGCTCTCCGTAGCAGAGCCCTCACAACGGAAGAATAACCAACAACCCAGGAGAGAAGCAGGGTACTTCTTGGCATCGGCTTCCACTGCAGGTGAGAAGAGGGGGGCCACGAAGTCTGAGAAGACGTCGTGGCCCATATACACTTTTTGCCCGTCGGCGGCGACGCAGAGCTGGCTGCGCCAGCGACGGAGCTAGACAGGGGGCACCGAAAAGCGAACTGGCCAGCACGCAGGAGCGGGAGTAGGGCAGGGCGGGCGGCCGCGGGGGCACACACACACACAGACACACACACACAGACACACAACAACAACAACAACAACAACAACAACAACAACAACAACAAAAAAAAAAAACGCACACACACAGCCACACACACACACACTGGTCATCACCCCCCTGGCGGAGGACTCGGAGAAGACGGCGTCGAGGAGGGGGCGCACCGGGGCGCCGCCGCCCCGAGGCGCCCTGCCTCGTGCCTCGGCCCATCATCGGGTGTCGCTGGGAGTGCCCCCGGCCCAAGGCGCCCCCAGCTTCGCGCTCCTTCTGGGAGCCCCTGGGGCCCTCTGTAGAGGGCAACATATCCACCCCCACAATAACCACCCCGACGCGCGAAGCCGCTTACTAAACGCCCCCTCGGAAGGAATCGAACAAGGCAGGGCTGCGTAGTAAACGCCCGCGCCAACTGTCCGGTCCGGGTGGTTTCTCCTCCCCTGACTCGGATTCAGAGCAAAGAAAAAACGCCATGAACATAAACTTTTGGCGTTCCGTGCGGAGTTCTTGGATCTGCGCCGGACCCCCCTCCCTGGCGCGCGGAGCGCGCCAGGAGCGGCGCCGGAGGCGCCGCCTGGGGGGGGCCAGTGCGGATCCAAGAAATCCGCGCGGAGCGCTGAAAATTTATGTTTAGGTCGGGCATGTCCCCCTACAGGGGGATTTTGGACGAAAAACAAAAAACTTGTGAAAAAATACCCCCAAATGGCCAACAAATGATAGGAAACTCGTCCCCAGACCGTTTTTCGACGATTTGACGATTTTTGGAGATTCCTCCTGTAGAGGAACAGGCCCGACTTAAGTTTATGTGTATGCAATTCTTGTTCCTCTTCGACTCCTCGGAGCTCAGAGCTCGGCCGGCTCGAGCTCGGGGCAGACGGCGCTGCTGGGCCCTGCCTTGACGGCTGCGCGGGGGCTCCCCCTTGAGCCAAGGGGGGCTGCCCCGTGCGCCCCTGTGGCGCACGATGGGGCTCCCCGGCTCAAACGAGCAGGTGTTGCTGGCCGTGAGGCGCGCACCGTTCATACGCGCACTGGACGAGATCTTGCTACGGCGCGCACCCCAACGACACCCAACTACAACTCGGGGCCAAATCGGCGCGGCCATACGATGCGCGCGAGGGTCGCGCAGAGGACGCGAACAGGTCGCTCGAAAGTGCACACTTCCGCGCGAACCTCCCCATGGACCTCGAGTAGGGGATCGACCACAGAAGTGGCATACCCCAAAGCTGCTTTCCCCGTCGAGTACGACAATCGTACATCGAGTGTTTAGCAGATCAACAGGAGCACACGATTGCAAACAAATCCTGGGGCGGACGATCAAAAATTGTTCGCCGGCCTGGTTGCCCCCGCAACAGGGGAGGGAGGAGCGAGCCGACGGAGGGCGGACAATCTGGGGCTGCCTGGGGTGCCTGGGGGGGACTCACGGGCTGACAATTCAAAGCCAGGGCGGTGACAATTCGGAGCCGCAGCCACCGACACCTTCTCAAGCTTCGGACGCCTCCTCCTCCTCCACCTGATGCTGCTGCTGCTGCTGCTGCTGCTGCTGCTGCTGCTGCTGCTGCTGCTGCTCCTCCTCCGCCTCCTCTCCCTCCCCCCTCCTCGCTCCTCCCCTCCTCCCCCCCCGCGCTGTTCTCTTCCGCATCTGCCTCCTCCACCTCCTCCTCCTCCTCCTCCTCCTCCGCCTCCGCCTCCCCCTCCTCCTCCTCCTCCTCCTCCTCCTCCTCCTCCTCCTCCTCCTCCTCCTCCTCCTCCTCCTCCTCCCTTCCCTCCACCATCCTGCAGATGCGAAAATACAGCGCCGACTCTGTGTCTGCAGCGCCGCGGTTGGACAAGCGAGCGCAGAGGGACGAATAGAAAATCACTATGAACGCGACGGCGGAAAAATTACCAGGGGGCAGACGATCAAAAATCAGTTCTGGCGTCCGGATTTTATCAAACTGCCCACCTCAATTATTCTGAGGCCCTCGGGGGGAGGGGGAGCTTGGGTGAGCATATGTGCTCCCATTTCAGAGCATGCGAGGTACTCTCTGTAGAGCCGATGGACGATATCAAAAACCCCATACAGGCCTTTTTTTCAGAGCCTGCCCCAAAAAACTTCAGGAGGGACCCGGGGAGCGTCGGAGACACTGCCGCGGAGCGCCCGCGAAACGCCAGGAATTACTGCTCCCCGCTAGCTCAGAGCAGAACGTGGCCCAGGAGTGCGACGTGTCCTGTTTTTCACGACCATCCTGTGGTGCTGGGTCCCCGTTTCGAAGAGGCAGGGCCCCGCGTTCTCCTTCCTCCTCCTTTCCTCCTCCTCCTCCTCCTCCTCCTCCTCCTCCTCCTCAGCCCTCCTCCCATCCTCCTGCTGCCCCAGAGGTCTCGACTCATGCATTGGGACCCGCTGTTCATCGCGACCCGTGTCGTGACGGCACCAGAAAGCCCGGCAGGGACACCCGGGGGCCGCCGACGGCCAAGAAAAAAACCATCCGCCGTGATTTCCTGACGACAGATCTGGGGAGGAAGCTC